TCTCACAGTAGGATTATCTCGTAATATATTAAATCATGTGTGAGGTTTCAAAGAACTTTTAATTTTAACTTTATCTAGCTAGAAAGCTTTTAATGGCACAATTACAGCCAACGTGCTTGCGTAAGCTTAGATTTATTGCTTTAAGGAGACGTTGAAAATATATACGATCTACATCTACACAATTTACGGTCGGGTCAAATTACTATAGTAATTGATATATAAATTATATTTAACATAATACCTAGTAATCGTGAATAAAAATATGTAAATTTTAGGTAGTCAACATAGATGTTAATAACCCAAGGGAGAATTACATATTCATATATAACGCAGTAGCTTTCAAAACAATGAGTTTTAGAATTTTTGTCTATTTGTCTGCGCGTTTGTACGCGCTAATCTCAGGAACAGCTAAGTCGATTTAGATGCGGTTTTCACTAATGTATTGTGGTAGGCTTAACATTTAGTATTTGTTTTACTTAAATGGGTTAATAAATAAAAATGTTATGTCGATTTAAAGAATCACCTAGGGACGAACGAAGCGAGGCCAGGGTGAGTCACTAGTTTTCATTAAATATAAACACCCATGACTGGAGTACAAACATTGGTGCTCATCACACAAATGAACGCCCCCAGGGGGATTCGAACCCGCGACCACTGGCAAAGCAAGTAGGGTCACTACAAACCGAGCCAAACGTGTCATTGCATTGAAAGTCAAGTTTTGTCATTGAAAAAAAACCATTCACCTTTACAAAAAGCGGTTTATTTTTCGCTAGAACATCTGCCATAATATTATACATCAAGTAGATGGATCCTGTTCCATATTTGGACAGGCAAAATGTCAATACACCGATTTACACCGATAGCATTATCCACTTAATTCTTTATAAGCGAAATCCTTCAACAAAAATTTCTTTGAAAGTTCCTTCAAATCATATCCTCATTTTCTATAATCAAGGCTTATTAAAACACGTAATCGCATACTTGATATTACCGACCATATTTATTTATCACTTTCAAAGTGCTAACACATTTAAGCAGTAAATATCGTAAATCTATTCGCAAATTTCAAATTGTACGATATTATATAAACACAAGTTAATTTTTTACACGACATGGGATTCGAACCTGTTAAATCTCTAAACGACCAGACAAATCGATGACAGCGCTTTTTAATTCATAATTTTGTTAATATCAATTGAACAAAAATAACGGAATAAGCAAGTTTTATATGGAAACACCTGCATTGTATAGTAAACATTTATCCGTCTCAATAATAACACTGCAAGACCCGTGTCAGTTAGGTAGCGTTGCCTTCGTGAACAGGTTTTCTTGGCATCAGGTTTAAGTATAACCATTCTACGTTACGTATGCTCGTATACGCTTTAATTTTATAGCACATTGTTCTGAGAAACTCGTATTTATTGGATTTATTTTTATTTTCCACGCGGCCAATTATGTTAGCCTTAAGTTTTTTGTGAAGCGAAGTTTATACCCATTTGTATTAAAAAGTTCAGATCGTGATAAGAGGTTGTGAAATGTGAATTGTTATTGGAAATATTTCACTTCGAAATATAGTATATTTAGAACTAGCGGCTCACCCTCGCTACGCTCGGGTTCGCCTCTACATAAACAAAAACAGATCTACCCCACGGGAACCGTACATTTTTCCGGGATAAAAAGAAGTCTATGTATTATTCTGATGTATAAGCTATATTATTGTAAAGTTTTATTAAAATCCATTTAGTAGTTTTTGCGTGAAACAGTAACAATTATCCATACATCCTCACAAAATTTTAATTGCATTGCAATTATAATATTAGTAGAAAGTTTTAAGTATTCAATATATTCTTTTACTTATACTAATACTTTCTTTCACGTAAATATTTCACATTATAAATAAAACAATATTTTTGGATTTTTTCAATTATGGTCAAATTCAGTCTCTCCAGTTGACCATGATTGCTGTAAAGCATTAGAAACGTCAGGAACCAAAATACACAAAAAAAACCAAAAATCCGAAAAATTAATTTTATTTAATAAATTCAATAATTATTTTCATTATAATATGCAAGTTCGAGGGTAATAGGTTCAGTTCTCTGTTGAGATAATACTGAAATTCATTGTCATAACATTAATCACGTTTTCAAAACAAAGAGCATCCTAGTCGTTGAATTTCTAATAGGTACATAACATATTATTTAAGTATAAACGATCAAAAGACAAAGAATGCTATGTACAATTTACGAACCATTGTTTCGTACAAGTTTAATAATGGTGTACATTCCCACAAGATAATTTCGAAAAACCTTATAATAGATACTATTACAATAAAAAATTGTATGGTACTTAATAGTCTTGATAATTTTACAAAAAAGTGGCTTTAAATTCGTAGTTATTATATGATTTACATTTTATGTCAACAATATTCTTCCTTGGACTTCAAAAGGTTGAAAACAGAAATATATAACTTGACCTTTGCATAATTTATTCTAAAGATTTAGTTTAAAACCCGTTCTAAAATATTAAAATACGTTTAGTTTTAAGTCTGTACACTTCCCTCAATAAAAAAAAAATTGATCCAAGTTTTCCAAATACAAAAAAGATAACATAATTAAATAAAAACTAACAGCTCCGAGACTTTTTCTCGTTATCTAATTTTTAGAAAAAAAAAGAACGATACATTCAATACGCCATAATAATTATTAGATAAATGATAAAATGTTAATAATTAATAACTCTTTAATGTTTTAATATAATTTAGTAAAATTCAGAACGCCGATTGACTTATATCCTATTTTTAGTGTTCCACGCGAACCAAATCACAAAGAAAATCTACACCATAGATTAAACCATAGGTTTATAGAATAATTTTGACATAAAATACACATAGCACTTTCTTTTACACAGTTGACTTTTTTTTGAATTTTTATTATTATTTACATATTTATAAATATACACTATTACTGTAAGAGTCTAAAGCTAAAATGAATGAACATAGCAATAAATCATTGTTTATGTACAGAGAGCAAATAACATCGATAACGCGATATCATATCAACTACATAGCGGATGTAACGTGACATATTATCGGACGTATAGCCAAAATTACGACAACCAAGAGCCAAAACTAACAGAAACACTACAATTTTTTTATCAATAACTAAAATTTGAAGTAGAATCAATCGAGTGAAAGTGTCAAAGATTTATCAGCGTGAGTCGTGAAATCTCAGTAAAATCAAATAACTTTCACAATATGAACATTTAATAATAAAGTTTTTATGTTTAATTCTTAAAAGTGAAGTATTGAACTCATACTGTTTTTATTAAGTCACAGAAAGAAGTATAAATCCAATGAATTTGTCCCATCTTATTTGACGTTATAAAACTTCAAATCTCCATCGTCACGCGCCATTGGTAAGCTAACGTAAGGGTTGCCAATTCATGAGAAGAAGAAACTATATGTCTTATCAAGAAAGGAGATGCTAGTATAAATTTCTATTGTACTGGGAAAGTTAAAAAAGCTATACGAATATATTATAAAGCTGAAGAATTTGTTGTCATCTCATTTGAAGTCTTTAAATTTAGCATTTTAAACCCTATTTATCGAAAGAGGTTATTAAAGCTAAGCTACCTAGCATCACGATATGAAACTTAAAAACGCAGAAAAATATAATCAAAATACGCAGCAGTAACCACGGACAAAAGCTAGTAATATTATAATAAATAGTTATTGAAGGCCATCATTTTGGAAACCCACATATAACAGCAAAAATCTGAGAACGAAATTACAGTTCCTTAAAATGCAATTGCTTAACTAAATAAAGCTTCTCTATGATAATATGAATAGCTTAATATATTACAATATATAAATATTTATAATTTTAATTCTGAAAACCCTAGTACCATCATAGATCAAAGACCCTTAATTAATGCTTCAGTACCGGCGGACTGAACTTGTCTACGAAATGTGAGGTGAGAAGCAAACCGTTAGATATGCTTCTCTCGTTCTCGTTTACGTAAACCAAGCTGTGACGTTGTTTTAATAAATTATAATATGTAGACATACAATTATTATCTACCCTATATGCAACTAGTTTGTTGATCTGTTTAAAATATGAAAATGTTTTAAATCCTCATCAAGGATGTTTTGGACCCGTTGTGCACTTTAAGGATTTCTATGGAGTATAAAAAATATTACGAGGATGTGGTATTTTTACCTGAGTCGCAGTCAGTGTGGTCTTATAAGTATATACTTATCCTTGTTTCACTCGGTAGCAACTCCAGATGCCTAACAGTAGCCATTTTTACTCCAGATCGTAGTCTATGTGCTAAATTTCATCAAAATCGATCCAGCCCTTTCAGCGTGAAGGAGTAACAAACATACATATAAACTTACATATTTACTATAGTAGTTCGATAAATTTATTTAAAAATATATATACAAGTTCGAACGGAACATACTAAGAAAGAAGGGACGATACGCTTCCACTTCACTTGATAATGTACTTATTAATAAATAAGCTTCTGGGTCTATGACTCACGGAATTTAATACAACAATCTTTACCCTACAGTTAACATATGATAGCGCAGATTACATTTTAATTTAGTCTAATAATAAATATTCATAACACACCAAGCTATTGAAAATCACGGTGGACATGACGTAATGCGCATGCGAAACAATTTGCGAGTCACAATAGGCAGTCAGTAACATTCCATCCTTTCAATGAATAGGCGGATTTCAATTGAAAAAAAATATAACAAAAAATATTTTTTTTTATCATAAACAAAAATTGTTTAAATACAAACAAACAAACTAATTATATCACAATTATTATACATATTTGCACGTTTTTTTTCTAAGCTAAACAGTTAATTTTTGCTTTCATGTACAGGACTAACGGTATACCGTCGAGCTGCTAAGAGAAAGCGTAGAGGATTCCATTCGAGTGAAAGCAAGACGCCAGTGTAGACGCGATATAATATATATAACCTCAAAATGTTGCTGATAACGTCAATAACAATAATATCAGTCTCTTTTGGCATTTACTGGTACATGAACAGACATAAGAAAGTGAAGCATATATTGAGTGAGTTGAGATATAGTTTGGACATGCAAGGGGCAGGTGCAGGGGGCTTAATCGACGATTGGGTAAACGTTTGGAGAAATAAAGCAGAGTTGCCAGATGCAAGTAACAAAGTCGCCGTTATAACGGGAGGAGCCCGCGGCATTGGCACAGAAGTTGTTAGAGGACTTTTAAAAGCAAAGATGACTGTTGTAATGGGTGTGAGAAATCCGGATTCTGTGAAGTCAATGGTTGAAACAATGGAAAATGGCGAAAGAATACGTGCGTTTCCCTTAGATTTGATGTCTTTGAAATCTGTTAAGCGATTTGCAGAAAGAGTGTTGAATGAGTATCCCAACATACATATTTTAATTAACAATGCAGGCATCATGTTTGGAGATTATAGCCTTACTGAGGACGGATTTGAGACACAACTGGCAGTCAATCATTTAAGTCATTTTTATTTAACACATTTATTGTTACCAGCTTTAAAAAATAGTGGTAAATTAACAGAACCAGCTAGAATAGTGAATGTAACATCTTGTGCTCATTTTCCTGGAAAGATTTACTTTGACGACATTCATATGAAGGAACACTATGATACAACCGCTGCATATGCACAATCTAAGCTAGCACAGGTAATAAATACAAAAAAAACTACTTTAACTTCTAGAATGTTTCTTTATATGCATTTATTAAAATATATTTATCTTTTTGTTTCAGCTAATGATAGCTAGGTACATAAACAAAATTATGGAAGAGAAAGATTTCCCGGTTAAATGTTACTCAGTTCATCCAGGAATAGTTGACACTGATCTATTTGAAAAGTCAAATTTCAACAAATTTCCTTGGCTCAAAAAAATGTTCTTCAAGTCGCCAGAGAAGGGTGCTGTTTCTATTTTGTATACATGTTTTGATGAAGATATATTATCAAAAGGTGGATTGTACATCAGCAATTGTAAAGAAGGATTTAGTAATCGCTTTTCAAAAAATGGAAGCCACCAAGAAAAGTTATTTAAGCTGTCTTGTGATTTAGTGGGCATACAAACTCAAACATTCGGAAGAAATTAATATTATTGCATTTGCCTAGCACAATGCTATTATTTTGCATAATAAAATAAATGCATTTATATAATGAGATAAACTTTATATTATAGGTATTTACTACTTATTTATTTTTTAAAATGTACAATATATGAAATGTATAAACTCATTTATAAACTATTTACTCAATAAACTTTTTGTATCTGTATTTTATTTATTTTCAATACCTTTCCTAGATGATTTATTTTAATATTTTTAATAGCATTTTATTTATAACTTGTGGTATATTGTTTTTTCATTCATAGAATAAAATTTAACAGGGTTCAAAGACGATATTAAGTATTTTCAATAATTTATTATACATAGACAATTAAAATAATCTGAAAATGCTGTTTAATTAATAATTTCATTCTTGAATTGATTAAATAAATATGCAAGGATAGGTGCAGCAAAATTGTATAATAATAAAGCAACAACCAAATTGGCTTAATTTATGTATGGATATTGTAATTCATGTAGTTTCACGATTGTAAGTGAAAGTTTATTTTATGCACCATATAACATCATTGTGTAGTCACTATTGTCCACAACAATATTGAAATGAAATCAGTTGTATAATTAACTCTATTTAAAAATATTGTACTGACCTGCTAAAAAATCCAGACAACCCTTTTTTCTTTAATTTTGCATTTTCATGGATTGTATCATTATCGGCTGTGTCATCCTCCTTCGATGCACTGGATCCAAGTGAACATTCTGATAGACTAGAGACGGTACTTGAAAAAGACCCTCCATCTTTCCCACGTTGGTGACCACTTACGCTGCCACCCCATTGAAGAGTACTTTTTGGAGAATCACTAGTATCACTTTTCTCACATGTAGATATAGAATAATTTCCCTCATCACTAAAACTACTCTTTTTAGACAATTTATCGATATCGTCCGAAGTGTCCTCTGATGGCTTCTCGACCTTGGGGCTGACGAAATGTAGCTGCTTTGTTATCGGATTATAAGCTAGTTGTATATTATCTAGGGCTTCACTAAGGCGCATCCCGCCTTTTTGGCACGGAGTCGACATATCGAAGATTTCAAATTTGAACTGGGTTTAAAAATTCCATCCATTTTTCATCAATATTATACTCATAACAGATTCTTCATTAATGGCTTCATTATAAATCATTATTGTAATTATTTGCAAATATTAGCTCTTTAGCTCGTTATCTTAATTTGTTCAATATTTGTAATTCACATCACAAATGAAAACAATCGATGTAAATATCTTGTTACAATTAGAAAGCTAAATAATAATTCTTGAATGTACACACAATTATGTAGGATGATAACTTATTAACACGAAAATTTAAAAAACAAATACTTAAAAAAAATCAATACTACCACTAACACTATGTGTTTATTACAATAAATTATACGGAACTAAAAGATAAAGCAAAGCAACACACCCACCACCTTATCCTTTCCACTGTAAATAAATTGACATTGGCGTTGGTCAGTTCGAAAACTGTAATCACGAGACAACTTTAATCGACTAAATAAAGTAGGTTCGCATATATCACTATAATGGTATCTACATTATACATCTTAATGTCGTTGGGTTATACAAGCCACTTAAAGGTTTCTGAACGAAGAAAGAACTGTCATAGCAAACGTTTTATTTTTGCTATCATAATAATGACACTTAAAATAAATTTTAGCATTAAAATAAAATGAGGAAGATTTTTTCTAAGGAGGGCGCTACACGTATAATCTATTTACATTCAGTCTGAGTCTCTTAACTCTTTTTACCTGGTTTTTAGCTTCTATCATGTTCGCATCTTACCTGTGCAATGCGCAATATACCGGGCAGATCTAGAGTTAAATTTGGGGGAACGGGAAGGGGGCGGGGCGGGGATAAAGGCTGAAGTCACAGAAATCTTAATAATAAGCTAATAGAAGTGGCATAGACGCGTGACCTTGTCGCCGCGCATGTGACTCGTAGGTCACAAGCGCGTGTAAAGCGTTTGTTGCGGTAACTACTAACTAGTGTTATTTGAGACACGGAGAGGTAAACATGGTGTTTTGCAGCATATCCAACTGCGGAAATTCTTCCAAAATTTGTAACTTTACAAATAAAGGGATAACATTTCATATGTAAGTGCTTAATTTTTGAAATAATGTCGTTTTTAAGAAATATAGCCAAATCAAATGTTTTCACCACCACTACTACGATTATCGCAGGAAAACGTTTTTTTTTCAATTCAATAACCATTACCACTTAAGCTTGTTCATGTCTACTATTACAACTGCTAAAAGCAGCAATGAAATAATAGTCATGCGTAAAGAACAATATTGTCGCGTACGTAAATTCCAAGGACACGCCGCATAAGTTTGCCGCGAATTAGTGACGTGCCACCACAATTTTTTATCGAAAATTTATTACGTTTGGCTTAATATTTTTCGTTAAATATTTAATTGTTACATCTCACTATGTATGTTTTCTTTCTGTCTGAATAATTTATAAAAAGTCATTTATCAACGATTATCTGTAAATTCGTACTTTTAAACTACTTTTTCATTCAGAAAATTATTAGGAGGTAGGCTTATTATTGTTATGTATATGGGTAGGTAAGTCAAAAACAGTATGCGTTGAATATCCTTGTATCGTTGACATGTTCCGCATTTACCAAATATTTTTTTTGATTTGATTGAGTAAATAATTCTAAGGGCGAGTTGTTTGATAAACATAACATAGAAATTCTATAAAAATTTTTAAGTCATTAGTTAAAAATGTATAGGATTTTAACAAATAGTTTGCATAACTTTTGTATAATAATAATAATAATATTTATTGCAAAGGTATACACCCAATTTAGAATATAATAACATATATGTAGTTATACAAGTCAATTTTTATATCACTTATGCATATATATGCAAGTCAATTAAAAACATTATAAAAACAAAATTCAGTCAGACTCTTCATTAAATTAAACTAGAATTAAAAACAATATATCGCTGTTGAGTATATAGTAGCTGTTGAGTGTATAACTATATAATAATAAAAAAAATTACTTACTTTTAACGTTTTATTGTATTCCCTTTATGAAAATAAATAAATCGTCTAAAATCGCGTCGAGGAATGAAACATAAAACACTTTCAATAAATTAGTTACCTATTGTTGCAAGACTCAACGGAAAATTATCGATATGAGCATTATGCGCTTTGTGCTGCACTAGAAGTGAGCGCGCGATATCATTCTGTGCTTTTCGCACACGTTTATTATTGGTCACAGGGATCACGGGTTCTGAGATTATGCGTTTTTAGAAAATATTGCGTAATGTCATCGCTTAAAGTTTAATTTTTGTTGCAACAATGCAAAATGCATGTGTGAGCGATAGTGTGTATTTATTGTTGTCAATGTGTTGGTAGCTGCAAGCCGGCGACACGCGTCCCAGTACTAAAAGACCGCAATGGCATTTCTATTACCTTATTATTAAGATTTCTGTGGCTGAAGTATACTATCCTTTAACTTTCAGTTTTCTTTTGCATTATTCCACGCAAAATATGATCGGTAATTTACACGCTCTGGTGTAAGCATCGTGCTCAAGCGGCCAACGTGCAAGATCAACAATCACAGTTATTACTTTTGTTTTTTTTTTAATATTTATCCAAGTTTTTAGTTTAAAAAAAAAAACAAATTGTACTATAGGCCAAAAACGCCGAGCCACTCTATAGCCCAGGTACTACTTATATTAAAACAGTAACTTAGTAAAATCTGTACATGAAATATTTTTAAATATTTACAAGTTGGGGGTTTAGAAATGAAACTTCTAATTTGTAGAATCCGTAGAATTGAGTAAAATGTTTATTGTACTAAATAAATACATTATGAAAATAAACAACCCCAATGCATAAAAGCTAACTAAAAAGATAAAAACAAGTTCACTATGGAATATAATATTATGCAGTCTGAGACATACACGTTTCTTCCTTGCCGCAAGATGTACGTACTACTAGTATATACCAATGTACTCTGTGCGTACTACGTACTCGTATGTATTATTATATAATTTTATTATGTATTTTTGAACATATATATTTATATATAATATTGCACACCATATATAAACAATAACAATGGTTACCATGGCAACATGGCAATACATTCTATCTCATTCTCTCGCCGTCGTCGTCGTCTACGTCGGCCTAGTCCTATTTATAATATATCTATGTGTTTGTCTCGTTTTAGTGTTGCATTTCCGTTTCGAGTTTCAAATCACAATGATTCTAAAGAAGTTTTACTTTAAAAAATAAACTTTAGTTGTAATTAACCTTCTCCTGATAGGGGTACTCTATATTCATCTCATTCTCTTGAAGGTTACTTTTCTGAAGTTTCACTTCTACCATGTATGAATTGCACACACACACACTGCTTTTTTTTATTTGTCAAATATTAATGATGTATCCTAACTTTTATGTAAATTATAAAGATAAAATACTTTTTAATGCACTTTGCTTGAAGTTATACATCGAAATTATAATCACATACACTTTTTTGACAGATTGCAACTTCAATAATATTCACAACTGGCAGCACTTCAGAGTTTAAACAATACAATTAAGTTTAATTTTTTTATCTTTATAATTTAAAATTTAAATTTTAATCTGTTTCTATTTTGTATGGCTATTGTGCTATTGTTTGGAATTACTCATTATTTTTCTGATAATTTCCATTTACACATTTTTTAAAATATTATTATCTTAATAAATTGATAAAATGGCTACTTTGGAAGATAAAATTCTGGGTGAGAAATTACAAAATTATTGTAGTAGTAGTGAAGATGAAGGATCTGACGGAGAAGGCAGTCGTAGTGGTGATGAAGAAGGCTCAAATTTACAAATGAGTTCAGCTCGGGCGGAGCCGCCACCAGTTAATAACTGGAACGGATCTGCGACTAACACTGGCCCAAAAGGCGTCCTTGAAGATTGGAGAAGATTTAAACAATTAGAAGCAGAAAATCGTGACGAATTAGAAAAAGAGCGTATTGCTCTTGCTAAAAAGCTTACCTTGTCCGTTAAAACTGTAACAGAAGAGGAGGAGGCCAAAGAAGTTGATGAATTGGAAGAAGAATTAAATGAGCTTATAGATGAAGGATTTTTAATGAAATACCAGCAACAGCGAATGCAAGAGATAATGTCTCAATTACAAAAAGTACCCAAATTTGGTAAACTCATTGCTCTTAACAATCAGGAGGAATTTTTAAATGCTATTGATAAGGAGGACACAAAAGTAACAGTAGTTATACATATTTATAATCATGGTGTAAGAGCATGTGAAAGTATGGATGGTTGTTTGAGTTTATTAGCAACGGATTATCCGGCAGTAAAATTTTGTAGAATAGCTGCTGATGTGACTGGATTAAGTCGAAATTTTCGTGTAGAAGGTGTTCCTGCCTTGTTAGTTTATAAAGGAGGTCAAATGATTGGTAACTTTGTTCAGCTAGCTTCTGAACTTGGTAATGATTTTTTTGCGTCTGATGTCGAGAAATTCCTCATAGAGTATGGAATGCTACCTGAAAATTAAGGTTTAATGTACTTCATGACTTTAAATTAATTTTTTATAAAATTTATTTTTGTATAATTAATTTGAGACTACTGGAATAGCACTGACTGATTAATGAGTATGTACATTTTATATCTTTCACCTTTTTAATGTATTTAGCCCTTTTTAACATCCCATTGCTAGGCACGGGCTTCCCTTCAAAATGAGGAATCAGGCCATAGTCCACCATGTTGGCCAAGTGCAGGTTGGCCGACTTCACTTGTCTTTTGGAAAACTTGCTAGGTTTTCTGTGACATGCAGGTTTCTTCACGATGTTTTCCTTCATAATATAATTCTAAAAATCACATGACATCACTCATTTGTAGTCTTTATAATACTAAGGCTCTTAAAAGAAAATTCAGCAATTGTTTTTAATATTGTATCATTCTTTTGAATATCAGTATTATTACTTTTATAAAAATAGTTTTAAAAAATACATTTTTGTTTCTAACTTTTAATTAATAAACTCTTAAAGAAAAATAGATTCTCAGTCATGCAACTAAGTTATTTTTGTGTTGAATAACTCAAATGTTACTTATAAATAATTTATTTAATAAGAATTAGCTTTTATAAGTACTTAGCGTCCAATATTCTGTTGAATAATGAATACAAAAAGTATAATTAATTTATTTTGAACGCTTTCTAATTAACTTGATTGCATGTAACAGTTAATTATATTTTTTTGCTGTCTGTGGTTGCTGGTAACCATTCTGTGTGAATATGATATTCAGTTTTATAATATAAAATAATAATGCTCTTGACCGATTCGGTTACGGTGGTCAACTTCATTGAGACTAGCTAAATAGTATCTCAAGTGTATGTGCAGATACAAGTGCACTCTATTGTTTTTCCTCTCAGTCCGATGGGACAGTACTTTGACACGACCAGTGAGAGTTAAGGCGCAGGACCGATGACTTTATGTGCTCTCTGTGTTATGGGTGTCCAACACCATCAACTTCCAAATTCTGGGCTATTACTGAGAATATCTTGACAGAAACTCTACTTGGCCCAACTCAGGACCTTCAGATCTGCATCTACAGCTATACATGCTAGCCATTAGACCACCTAGGCTGGAGGCAGTTTAATACAAAATAATAAGGATGACTAGAATATGTAAAAGATTTTAAGTGATTCTTATAGGAATTGGAATTTTAATATTAAGTACATTGTACTGAGAAATAATGATTTCACCAAATCTAAATAGGTTAAGTCTATGAATTTTTCAACCTTTTAGTGATAGGTTCATTGTTTAGGCTAAGTTTATTTATGTTATTAATTGGACAATAGACAGGCTAAAAAAGTTGTTGATTTTCAGTTTTTTGTAGTAAATTTTAATCTAATGCAGTCATTTTGCAGGTAGATACAAAATCGTTTTATATCAAGCATCGAACATTATAATAATTTTATGTTATATGTATCGAACATTATAATAATAGTCACTAAAGAAATAAAAATATAGGCATATATGCAATAATATTTATTTTATTGTTAGACTTCAAGTTTTTAGAATAAATATGGACAACTATTTTGTATAATATTTCATTTAAATAATATGACAAGATTGATTTCGAAACTTGTTTAGAACATCTTTTATGTTTTATTTTTGCTTATTTTATATTTGAAGGTTTCAGGATTCAATGTTGCGCATTTACCAAAATTACTGCATTTTCAATAAATAGTCTGTATTTTTATTTGAATTTTCATTACTTCAATTTCCCTAATAACCTTATTAATAATTGATAGGAAATAGTAAAAGAAAAAGATATAAATGATATCATAATATATTTATTTCAAGTAGTAAATATTTAAAAAAATCTTATAAATTACGACAGTGTTGTTCCTTTTTGTAAGGTGTATCTTACAGCTATAAGTACTTAACTTTACAAAATGTTTAAATTTGTGTTTTAGATAATTTCGCATCTCATACAACATCGAACATATCTTATATACCGATTTTAATATTTAACATGAATCACAAAAAAATTACACAATTATGAAATATTAGCAAAAAAATTTGTAGAAGACATTTAAACAAACTAAAATACAAATACAACTTGCAATTTCTCAAAAAAAAAATTAATCATATTTAGTACATTTTGAGTTAAATAATCATATCGGAAAATAGCTTTGAAAATACTTATTTATGATCTATCAGATCTAGAGCATAAGAAGTAAATTAGCCCTTGTATCAATAGGATTATGGGGAACAACTATGGAGAGTGGAGGTGAAAACTATCTTATATGGGAGACAAGTTGAAAAAGTGTCCACCTGTAAGCTGGTAAATAACAATTCAAAAACCCATCAGAATGGCGCTAGAGTAGCAAGAGGGTATAATATGTAAATTTAGCAATTGTATATTGAGTGAAGTGTGCAGAGTTACAAAAAATATTTTTGGGTGACTCGAATAGTTATTGAAACTATTTATGTAGTTCAGATTTTTTTTGTAAATATAACCGAAAAAACTGTGGTGATATAAACATAGTGATTTGTTTTTGTGAACTTTTAATAATACTTTTGACGCTTTTTTAAAGAAAGTACCTACTTGCTACCATAGTATCACTTTAATTTAACGCATTTCAACGGACACTTTTGCATCACAAAGATTGTACTCCTTACCTCTACCCTCCATAGAAACAACAAACAGCGTCACAGAGTTTACTATATAAATCATTCACATTACACCACAAGATCAGATACTAGCACAGCTCTATAACTTCATTGGCCTCAGTACGCCTGCGTTTAGGTTTGGGTACAGGTTCATCATCATCTTCTTCGATAATCTCCATATCACTGTCACTGTCTTCTTTGGACCTTGACGGGCCTGGTTTGGGTTCGGAACCATTAGATCCATTTGCTGTGTTATCCTCCTTAGGACCTGGCATCGGTTCATCAGAATCAGTTATTAGCCTCCAGGACTTCTCTTCATCCTCTTGTTGGAGTCGTACTCGCACTTCATAGTTTTGTAGAAAGTCATCTACTAACAGAGCACAGCCGTCATTTAGGCCTATTTCTTCTAATGTTTTGTCGTTGTTATGATCTGTTTCACCCGGTTCTGAGGATAATACCACTAGGCCTTTGCCCTCGACGGTTGCATCTGGCGCCTGCATGTTTAGACCTTCTTTGAAGGCTGTGTTAAGGTCTTTCAGTGTGAGCTGTTTGATGTTACAAGCAAGACCTACTTCTGGTTTTGGAGCGCAGACATAGCATTTGGGGTTGGGCGCTGTTAGAGCTGGAAAATCAGAAATATATGAATATTTGTCTTATTTTTCTATAGGTCGTCATCACAGTGCTTATTTGTACAAACAACCAATTTACCGAAACAGTTTTTAATGCAGAATTATTTAATTTTAAATGTGAATTCCATTGATATTAAATACAATTATTTTTTAAAAAACGTCAAAGAAATGTACTTTATATATGGATGTATGTATATAACAAATTTTAGTTTATAATATAAGAGATAAAAAAACTAAAAACTTGAATAAATACAAAAAAAATCAAAAATAAATTTTACCTTTGTATACGACCGGGATTCGAACCCGGACACCTATGATTGTCAATTGTCTTTTTTTTTTTAAACTAAAAACTTGAATAAATTGCGCAGACATAAGACTAATCTAGTTTAGAGCCGTTTCCGAGATTCAGATTATGTATATATATACATGCAAGAATTGCTCGTTTAAATATATTAGATAAGAACATCTGATATGGTAGGAACTGAGCTGGCTTCAAGTTTCTTCGAAGCTTTTATTGCAGTAGATATATTAGCGTTGTTTTTTTGTAAGGTATCCAATGTTGCTGATATTGGACACAAGCTATAGGTTTTAAAAACAATCGCTAAAACCTTGATTTTTTGGACTAATTAAAAAAAAACCTCATGAACCCATTCAATTTTTAAACCACTTTTGGTCACTGACCCCAAACCGAAAAGCATTTCGGTTTCAGGTTTCGGTTCCGTTCTTTAGCCGGTTTAAATACGGTAAACGGTTTTTGACGAATTGAGGTTCCATGATCGAAATTAACCGGTTAAAATGAATTTTTGTGCGTTTACATTTGGCGAATCTTTGCTAATAGTGAATTGCCTAGTAGATGGATGCACGTGTTTTTTACTTACGAATGAACTAACATTTACAATAAACACAATTTACAAATTGGTTTATTTCAGTATCAAAACCTAAATCTAAACTTTCTCTAAGAACAACCATTAATCATAATTATTTCGGTCACTAAACCATTTGTTTTAAACCGTTTAGCAACACTAATGGACGAATAAACTATTACATTATCGAAACCGGGTTTTTCTATCGGTTCCGAGCACTGATCAGAAACCTTAGGTTAGGTTAATATTTATTAACACTCACTTCGTTCAGGCACAAACAGCTGACCACGGTGATTGACTTTAGGTCTTAGATAAACACTAGTGCAGTTCTCAATCTCTCCCCGAAGTATACCCTGAGCCCGCAACACGGCGAGACCCGCCACAATGGCGTTAGCAGTAGCTATTGCAGGTATTATATTACCAGCCATCGCTGTGGAAATAAACAAATAAATAATATTAATCAGAATATAATATTTCACATCTATACATACTGATAAATAAAATTAATGTATCTGTTAGTGTAGTCAGTGTGTCTGTTAAATTGTAATGTTAAAATAACAGCGTTTTACTAAATGTAAATGAAATTATAAATGGTACTTTTATCGAAACACAATTTTTAAAATTTTTGTCTGTCTGTCACTCTGTCTGTTTGTTCCAGATAATCTCTGAAACAGCTGGACTGATTTTGACGGGACTTTCACAATAAGATAGCTGATGTTATAGGGAGTAACATAGGCTACATTTCTTTTAGAAAAAAATTAGAGTTCCGCTCAAAAAAATCAAAACGTACCTAGTACCTACGTAGGAACCAGGGCGAAGCGAGGGTGAGCCGCTAGTTTTAAAATAAAACTATACTCGGGATTTTTAGCGGATTTATTTTGAGGTTTGGTTCCCGACGTTTCGTATTTTACAGCAATCAAGGTCACGGGAGACACTAAGATTTTAGATGTCTCAAAGGTCAGTATATAGTTATTTTAGGCACCTAACCAGAAAATTATAGAATGATTTGACAAACATAAAGATACAAAAATGGCATCAAGTACCTTATAATATTTTTAATTTCAATTTTAAACGATTTTAATAAGTTTTATAAATGAACTTTTATTATTATTTCATTTTAGTTACAGTGATTTTATTTAATATTAATATAACAAATATTTTCTTAATTTTAATAATATATGTTTTTTTTGATAGTATTACTTCTATTAGATTCTTATGGAATAATCATTTAACAAATCATGTGAATGATAATGTTATTGCTGTGTTAATAACACTTTAGTTATAGATAAAGCAAAAAAAAAGAACTATGTTCAGATACATAATTCTTATCTACTAGCAGAATCTACAAAAAAAACTACAAAAAAATCTCCAAAGAGGTAGTTTCATACAAACTTTCATCCCCTATTTTACCCCCTTATAGGATGAATTCCGAAAAGTGCTAAAACACGTATTTATTTAATTTTATTGAAGAGCATTAATATCAAGTTTCAAGTAATTCTGATCAAAAATATTTTCTTTTGGATCGTATTATAACGTGTTCCCGCGGGAATTAGGTAACTCCCGCGGTAAAAAGTAAGCCCATGTCCCTTTCCAGCCCTCCAACTATCTCCACACAAAAGATCACGCCAATCCGTCACTCCGTTTCGACGTCAAAGAATGACAAAAAAACAAACACACTTTCAAATTTATAATATTAAGCATGGAAGTATACAACAAGCTGTTAATTTACAAGGCCATAATAAAACCGATCTGGACCTATGGCTTGGAGTTGTGGGGAGCTACATGTAACTCCAACATAAATAAAATTCACCCTGGTTCATAAGAAACACAGAGGTTCATGAACACCTAAACATGCTGACAGTCAGAGGAGATCAAGGCATGTCTAAAAAAATACAAAATCAGATTGGAAAACCATCCTAACCAGCTGGCAGTCATTACCTGATTGCATAAACCGGTTGAAACGACGCAGAATCCTTGAACTCAGCAAAACTAACTAAGCCATTGTAATTAAAGAAGGCAAAAATTCCTGATGGAGGAATACCTTCTCCTGCCACTGACATTCTTACATCACATCTGCTCATAGTCAAGAAGACCGATTGCAAGATAAAAAAAAAAGTATGGAAGTATGGATTTGGAGTGTTATTTTTTTTATTTTTTTATAAAGTAATTGTTAGAATAGTAACTAAATGTTCATATGTTTATCCTCTATGTATCCTTAAATCATTAATACAATTGAAACAAAGCTCTGGTGGGTTATATTGTATACGCCTGCAAAGGTATTTTTTCTTTGGACACTTGTTTTTTTGTTCGCCTAAACTGAACCATTCATAGGACACATCCGAGTGGAGCGAGAGTGAACCGCTAGATTCCAATAAAAAATACATGTATTAATTATTACTAGGTGCTTTTTAACGGTTAGTGTAGATTTCTTAGAGATGAGATACTTTCCTGCAGTAAAAAGTATCCTTAATGTTGACCTGAATAACCAGCTATAATCATACCAAACTTCATTAAAATCTATCCTGTGGTTTTCTCGCGATGCGTTTCAGACAGACAGACAAACAAAAATTCTAAAAACTATAAATTCTGCCTCTGTATCGATAATAATGACTATTTCAACAAGATTTTCCAAAAAATATTTAATGTACAGATTCAACACAGTTAGAATATCATTATTTATGTATAGTTTAAAATATATATTTACATTTGATTTCAAATCTAGACTTCAGCTGTATATTGAAGATATGAGCCCGTATGTTCGCACACGCCGTCACAAAATCCATTGAACTTTTCTCATCCTTATCCCATACTAAGTGGTCACCATCAGGGCGGCTTTTGAGATCTGTTTGTAAGGCTTTGCAGCTTGCAGCAAACATCTAAAACGGAAAAAAGACATCAATTTAAGAAAGTAATAATGACAATAATGACAATGGTGTGAAAATGGGGATGATAGTTTGTATGGGGAATCAAGCTACAAACAAGCCCGAGCGAAGCGAGGGTAAGTCGCTAGTAATAAGTAAAGAAGTAGTAGAAAGAGTATATATTTATACATATGGTCATACAAATATCTATACATATAATAAAACTAGTGACTCATTGCTAGACTACTCAACCCTAAAAAAATAACAAGAATTGAAAAGAAATCAGATATTTTTCTTACCTGAGCACATTCATAAACAGACCACACCCTTTGGTCTGGCAGACCCGAGTGCTGAGCTGGTGGGTTATCTTTACCAGGCAAATTATCCCATGACAATGGAGTGGGAGGGCGTCGTTTTTTCCATAAATTTTCCATAGATAGCAAATAGCGTATATCATCACCAAAAAGTTTGGCGAATAACTTTTCTGGATCATAATTAGTTTCTGAGGCCCAAGTTCTCGTACTTTTTCTTTCTACGTTTCCTGAAGTGGTCCCTTCAGATGCTAGGGCAGTTGATCCGGCTTCACCAGCTGCTTCAGGGTCTGCAGTATCAGGGCTAACATCTTGATCAGGATCTTCTTCTCCGAAAAGTTGGTTAAACAGATGTTTTGCCCATACAATACAATGGATTGGCTCCGATGGTGTGTTTCTTATCGTACATCCAGGAAAAGACTTTTGTGGAGCTTTAGGTTGACATTCATAGCATTGTGTTAAACCCTTTTTGATTAGCTCGACCTATAAAAATAATATTTATTATTATATGTATAACAATTAACAACTTCACCTCTAGAATGACAAAAACAAATCTATCCGACAGGAATCATAATTTTTCTAGGATAAAAAGTAGCGCATGTGCTATTCCAGACTATAATCTATCTCTGTGCCAAATTTCATCCAGATCCGTTCAGCTATTCTGGCATGATTGAGTAACAAACATCCATCCAAACATCTAAACTTTCACATTTATAATATTAGTAAGATTTCTATTAAAAAGTATAAGTAATATATTAATCCTGCTATTCTCTCTCATTGTAATGTTATACATACATATAACATTTTTTTTACTTCAGTCCATTATTATAAACGCTAAAGTTTGTATGTGTGGTGTTTGTATGTTTATTAGTCCTCCACTAATAGAGCTGACTATGACCTGAAGTAACATGAGCTTTTGTTAGGCATTTAGGAATGTACCTGAGTGAAGACAATGTAAGTCAGAAAAAAAATGGCAATATTGTTTACTTGTAAGTAAAAATTTATCAATTTAGAATAGCACATTGAATTACTAGATTTCATAATAACTATACATATTTGTATTATCAAAACTCTTTACAGTTTAAAAAGACCCTTATTTGGTTTCGTCATACATAATAAATGTAAAAATACTGTAGATCTAGATCTATTGATTATAAATTAATACATGATGAGTATTTCTTGCAATTTATTTCTTTTGGATTTAACCCTTCAAACCCATCTAAATTTTAAAACCATAACTCAATGCACATAAGCCAATAAATAGGCAATGTTGAAATTGAGAACTAAATTTATATCTATAAATATCACTTTTTGGTAAATAAAATTTAACATTTTTTTAAATATATTTTATTAGTATCTATATGTACAATCTTACCTGACCAGCATAACCAGCAGTTCCAGTTTCAATTAGTGGTACATTAGCAGCTAAGCACATTCTATTCACATGGTTGCGAGCTACTCTATTATCCAATGCATTCATTACAATATTAAATTGCTTAAAGTAACTCACTCCATATTCGTTGCTGAAATCGAAACAAAACAATATATACAAAATTTTATTATCAATGAAAAGGTAATTGAAATGCAAGTACATTAATAAAAAAGTTCTTTCTACAATATTTTATGTGAAAAGTTGATTGTTATTTTGTCATATGAATCACATGTTCACAGCATAACATTAATTCCATTCGGTTGCTGTGACGTCGAATCCTTAGTGCATTTACCTTTGGTGACAATATAACCTAATATTTAACTAACCTTATAACGCTGTCATGATGCGCAATAATATTCACATTAGGATTAAAGCTCAATGCACTATCCTTAGCCACTTGCGCTTTTGATTTTCCTACATGCTCCTTGTGAAACAAAAACTGACGATTCAAGTTGCTTACGTCGATTGTATCAAGGTCGATCTGCAAATTGAACGTAATTTTATATGTGCTCCCAATTATCACGTTAAAAATTCTAAATTAAGTGGACATACTATTTCAATTTGAGGAAAGCCGGTCAGAACTAGGTTCTTCAATATTTCACAACCTATGCCACCGGCACCAACTACCAAAATCTTAGAATTTGCTATTGCTTCGGTTAGTTTTTCGTCGAAAACACCAGCCACTCTTGCTACCATTTTTATACAATTTATCTGTTATCAGTTTTCACAAAATAAATTAAAAATTTATAAATATTACGCAGAGAAACAGCAAACGGAAGATTTGCGGCATCGAAAAAATGTCAAAGTTGGCGTCGGGTAGTGCTGCCAACTTCAAAAATTAAAATACAATTTTCCTTTTTAATCTAGGCATGGCATTTTTATGCAAGCACAGTACATATTTCTATAAATATTTAGGGCTAACTTTCATTACTTTCTTTTCATATATTTTTATAATAATAATAGACAAAATGTTCACTCTTCCATAAAAACATAAATTTTAAGATTACTTTTTTAAGTCTGGCGTCGACTACAGCAGAAACGCGTCGAATCGAGACGAGTCGACTCGAGTCGCATTTATTCCTTATGCGTATATTTCAGCCGTAACAAATCGACAAGCAACTCGTCAGCAAACTAGGTCGTGAATGCGCTTCGATCTTCTTACATCTAAAGTTTAGTATAAACCTATACAAATAGATAAAATTGAAGTATCTGTTTGTAATCTCATAATAACAGTTTTTTTACTAAATGAACATGAAACTATATATTGCGCTACTTATAAGAAAAACATTTTTTTTAATTTGTGACTTTCACTGGCAGATAGCTGATGTTATATGACGTCATTTTGACAGTTCACGGCAGGAGTAGACTCAACACTTAGGAGGAGTAACTTAGGCTATGTACTTTTATTTTAGAAAAAAGAATTAGGGTTCCGCTAAAAAAATTAAAACGTAGGTACTTAGTAACGAACCCGAGCGAAGTGAGGGTAAATCTTTAGTATACAGTATAATAGTATAGTTATACTATAACATAGACTCGTCGCTAATGGACGCAGTTTCATAGTAAATATATAGGAGGCGAATTTCTGCGGTTCGATTCGCCTCGACTCGGCGCCCTAGTGGACGCCAGGCATTATGCCTAAATCCCCCGCGCGCATTGCTTGTCAGGCGAATTTCTTCGGCGTTCGATTCTGCTGAAATGGACGCACAAGTCACAACGAATAAATTTGGGTTAGTAAGCAAAGCGATTATTATTATTATTATGTTGGGTGTGCTGCCGAGGTCGGCCCTAGCTACGTCGTCCAGTTTTGGTCCATTGTAGCTCAAGCAAAGCGATAGTACGAGTACGTATTATCTTTTGGGTTATAAAGAAAATAAATATGATTGCAACCTACAGTACCTGTACAACGTATCTACATATTATAATTTTCATTTCTTTATAAATATGTGAGATTTATTAAGAATAAAACTAAAATATATTTTTGTTTTCTGCAAAAAATGTATTGGCACAATGTGATATATATTATTCATAAAAAAATGTTGTTTCAAAGAACGTAATTTTACGATGCAATGATACCTACATATGTGAAGACGTTGTTCATAAAAATTGCTTTTAGCTTTATGAAGCGACACTTGCTATCTATAGATTTTCTTTTCTACTTGCCGTCTGGCGATCGTTACTTTTCTTATAACGTAGGTAGTTTTTATCGTGAGTGATATTGGTAAGGTCAATTCTAACTTTTTATTAAGCTTAGACTTCATATCAACGTTTTTTTAAAATACTAGTTACGACTTGCGGAACCACCCCTGTGTTCATTTTAAATATACTTACAACCAACAAAGGTCACATTCGTTTCATATTGTAGAGCCTAGTAGGCAAGGTAGGCAAAATTCAAAAAATTAAAAAAATGAATTCATTTTGTTATTTGTGGGTAGGCTATCTGTAACAACTATATAATACCTTAGAGATATCTAACACCTCGGTCTCTCCCGTGACCATGATTGCTGTAAAGCATTCGAAACGTCGGGAACCAAAAATCAAAATAAATTTGCGAAAAAATCCGAAAAGATAGTTTTATTTAAAATGTCAAGTATTCGCGTAAATCTAAGAAAGCTTTACATATTTTCTGTCGTTCTTACGAAAGTAAGACTTTTTAAAACAAGTTGGTAATAGCTTAGTTTTTTTAAGTTAATATTTTTTGTTTTTATACTCAAAAACCAACCATCAATGTTAGTTTTGTCACTGAGTTTGAATTTAGAATATAGAGTTATAGATATTAATGGTATATGAATAAAGAAAAAAAGGGTTTCTATTTTATACGTTCAAAGAAAAAATCTTAGAGTCGGATTACTACCTTATTCATAAAATTCTTTGTTTTTGTATTAGAAGACCAATATTTCAAACGTTAAAAGAAAAAATCAATAATTAAATAGAGAATCAGTTTTTATCGAATTCATCAAATGCTAGTTATGCCGAAACAAATGATTTTAAATGTTTTTAACAGGTTGCAGCTTATTTATTTTCAAACTTATATCAATTTCTTCTCTATTAATTTTAGTTTATATTGCTTTAAACTTATTTAGTAGTATACATAATTAAAATACTTATAAGTATCTATTTGAACATAGTTTTGTAAATAACAATATTAAATGGACACTAAAATAATAATTTGTAAAAGTTAGATTAGAATAAAGTGAGTATCGGTCGTTAGTATTCTATAATTGCGTATTGACCTCATTCGAAATGAGATGTTATGGCTACGACAATCAAATTAAGGAACCGCGTCAATCCCAAATATTCCAGTTTCTGTATGCCTGTTAATACGTAAAGCTTGTTTGCAATTAGGGTTCACAGCAAAATGGACATTTGGATTTGTTCTGACCTCACTATTTTCCAGTTGGACTGTTTGTCGCTACAGCCTCGTGGTTTGTCACGCCATTTTAATGTGATTGTTATTATGACGAGGAATATTGGAGCTTGGTTTGGCTTCTACAAATACAAGGGATTCCATTTTCTGTCCTTTTTCATTATATTGGAGAGCAGAATATATGAAGAGCTATGAGAAGTTTTATGTATATTACATTTAATTAATCATAAATTATTTAAAGTATTCATTAATGAGGTTTTATTTGCTTAATTTTCAATGATATATATGCTGACCATGAACGAATTAGTCTCTAATTCGTCCATGATGCTGACAATTAAATCATATTTGACATGTTATTATAATCATGGACGAAAAATAAAGATTAGAATCATATCATGGAAATCTCTTTAAATTCATCGCTTAAAGCCTTTATAGGAAAATAAAAATAATTTAAAGTCATCCTATATGTTTCATACCTAATAATAATAATAAATGATTTTAATGATATGAAAAATTTGTGGATTATTCAAATTATTTATTTTTCTTTTATAATAAATTACTAAGTATCCTCTATACTTATATATATAAGGTTAAAATGCCACCTAAGAAAGGTAAGGGCAAACAACCACCGCCAGCACAAGCCAAAACCTTAATGGGCCCTCCTCCTAAACCTAAGAAACCTCCACCTCCTCCTGCTTGTTTTGGACCAGAAGACTTGGCGAAGTTCAAAGAAATGTTTAAAGCTCACGATGAAGAAAATATAGACAAAGTAAGAATAAGTAAAAGTAACTTATATGACGATACGTTTGGCTCAGTTTGTAGTGACCCTACTTGCTGTGCCAACGATCGCGGCTTCGCATCCCGCTGGGGGCATTCATTTGTGTGATGAGCGCGAATGTTTCTACTCCAGTCATGGGTGTTTATATTTATGATATGTATGTATTTAAAAGTTATATATGTGTAGTGTATCAACTATCTGGTATCCATAACACAGGCCTCGTAGCTTACCATGGAACTAGATGGTAGTGTTAATGTCCCAACATATTATTAACTTCTAATAGTAAACGAAATTGGCGTATTATATATTTTCTATTTTTCAGGTTAAGCTAGAGGCCATCCCTTTAATGTTGAGAAAATTAGGATTTAACCCGAAAGGCGCAGAGATAAAAGAACTTTTCAGATTATTTTTGGAAGATGATCTAGTTGACACAGTGGAGTACCACGAATGGCTATTTATGATAGAAGCTAAAATGAATTGGGGTGATGATTTTGAATTGGCAGTGACAAAAGCATTTGCTGCATTAGGACATGATGACGATGAAACTGGTGTTGCAGACTTAGAAGTATTACGCGAGGAACTTATGACGTGGGGTGAGCCTTTATCTGAAATTGAGTTTGTAGACTGGCTTCGCTTAGCGATAAAAGATAAAACTTATAATCCAGAAGATGGCACGGTACAGTACGATAAGTTCATTGAAAATATGAATGCTAAAGATGAGAGGTACATAAAAGAACCCATCAACTTCTTTAAACTGGATCAGAAGACCTTAGCTGAGATGGCAATGAAGAAGGCTCAAGAAGAACGCGAAGAACAAGAAAAAAAAGATGCTGAAAAACGTGCAAGGGAAGAAGCAAGAACACAGAGAATGATCGCTGAAGGCTTAATACCTTCAGATTAACTGTAATCACGATGTAATTTGAAATAATTTTAATATATTTTCAAGATAAAACATTCACTTACCGTGTTAATGTTTTGGCGATAGGAATTTCAGTGCTATCTCTTTAGTCAATGAATTCAATTTGATTAAAGTACGCAGCCATTTGTTAAGGATTTGGGGATTCCATGAACAAATCGTATAATTGATTTTCTTTGATCCCATAAAGTGAACAAAATTACTATTGTCCAGAAAAAGGACGAGCAAATTTTCCTTTATACTACTTACTATATAATATTACTAGCAGAACCGGCGGCTTCGCTCACGCTAAAACTACAAAAAAATCTCTAAAAAGGAAGTTTCATACAATAGTTCATCCCCTATTTTACCCCCTTATAGGATGAATTTCCAAAAATTCAAATACACATGTTTATTTAATTTTATTGAAGAGCATTAATACCAAGTTTCAAGTAATTCTGATCATAAATATTTTTTTTGGATTGTATTTATCGTGTTTACCTGTTGAAATGAGACGATCTCCCGCGATAAAAAGTAGCGTATAAACGCGATATCGTCATATATATATGTATGTATGTATAGATTAGGGTTCTATTTTAATGAGTAAAATCCAAATATCGATATCTAAATATTTAAAAATAGGTAGTTATTTTGAAATATTTTAACATCGATATTTCCTCCTCCCACATATTTTAGCTCATACGTTAATTTGCAAGATAAAATCCAAACAAATGTTCTAAATATTTCGTTTATCTGTTTGTAACTTCTAATCTTTTGAGCAACTGAAATTATTGGCGACATATATAGGTATAGAGGGCCAAAATATTTTTTGTCCCGGAAAGGAAAAAGGTTCACACGGAAAGGATCAAAGAAAAACGATTTCATCGAATTTAGTCTTGTTTTTGACTCGGTCACAAGTCAAACCAATTACTTTTTATATTGAGAAAACGTTTTCTAGGAATAGACAATGGATGATAATATAATATAAATTTTTGACCCGTGCTTTAGTAGAGAGCGATACATTTAGGACGCCATTAAGTACCCATAGCTGATATATATAACTGCCTCGGTGGTGTAGTGGCTAGCATGTACGGCTGCACACCCGGAGGTCCAGGGTTCGAGTCCCGGGTCGGGCCAAGTTTAGTTATTGAATCTTTCTGTAAAGTAAGCCTCAGTAACAGCCCGGAGTTGGGAAGTTGGCGGTGTTTCACCCCCGTGCCTCGGAGAGCACGTAAAGCCGTCGGTCCTGCGCTTTAACTCTCACTGGTCGTGTCGAGCAGTCGTCCCACCGGAGTATGAGAGTAACAGGAACAAAGAGTGCACGTGTGTTAGCGCGTACACTTGTGCACTATAATATCTCCTGCGTAGTTGGCTAGTCTCAATGAGATTGGCCGCTGTGGCCGGAATCGGCCACGAGAACATCATATAACTGATATCGACTTATTTAATAATCAGCATTCTTCAAAAATAGAAATGAGAATTGAAACGTTTTATGTATTAAAAATTTAAAAAACCCCTAACGCAAACTAATTGTCATTTAACGATTACACTGGCACGCGTAAAGCACTTAATCGAGTAATCATACACCAAAATTCCTCACATCATTTTGGAAAAGAGCTGATACTTTTACACTGCTAAACCGATATTAACCAAACATAGCTAAGAACTACCGCAAGGAAACTGGCATCAAAATCGGTCCATCCGTTTGAGAGCTACGATGCCACAGACAGACAGACATACACAGACAGACAGACATCGACGTTAAACTTGCAACACCCCTCTTTTTGCGTCGGAGATTAAAAAGTAAAAATTAAATAACCAGGTACTTTAGTTTTTATCCAGACTATTATAGTACTTTAACTTGAGTACGAACTATTTGAAGTTATGACTCTAGTTAAACCTAAAAATGTACAAAGCCATAGTAAGTACGCTCTACAATGAAGACTTCAGGTAGTTAAGGCATTATATTATACACTTTCCACATTATAATACTCGACATGCATATTCATGCTAACGTTAAAAGCAAGTCTGCATAATTTTTCTCTAACAAAGAAATGGGACGTACTTAATGCGAATATTTTCGCGCGCCGTCCAATTTGAGCGAAGAATGTGAAACGTGACATGTAGAGCGTGAAATTATCTCAACATCTGTCATAATAATAAATTATTAGGATATTTTAGATAAAGATTAGTGACTCACCCTTGCTTCGCTCGGATGCATCTCTAGGTACGTGGCTTTGCTACAGTTTAATAGATCTTTTTAAGAGGAATAATTCTGTAATACATTGTTTTCATATAACTCTATTGGTTTACGCGGAGCACGTCAATAAAGCTTCTAGTCCTCTTTCAGCCAATTTACACAGAACCATAATGAATTATATACATAAATCTTTCTCATTCTCTCCATTGGTGAAAACCGTATGAAAATCCGTTCGTTAGTTTTTGAGTTTATCGTGTTCAGGCAGACAGACAGACGCAGTGGGGAACTTTATTAACCTTCGATGCAAAAACGACTGGGTGTTATAAGTTTGACGTGTCTGTGTGTGTCTGTCTGTGGCATCGTAGCTCCGATAGCCGAACGGATGAACCGATTATGATTTTGTTTTTTTTTTGTTTGAAAGGTGAATTAGTAGGGAGTTCTTAGCTATATTTGATGAAAATCGATCCAAGATAGTCGGTTTTTTTTTAATTTTTAATTTATCACTTTATAATATGTAGTGATGTTCATCGACTTCAATAAAATAGTACATGTAGATATTTGCCATTTTTCGAATGAGCAAACGATTAACGTTTCATTTTAGTTAGATAACATCACATAAAGTACTTGTCTAAGTTACGTGCTTCCAATTATGGTTTTGACACTCAGTGTTTCCACTGTCAGGCGTTAATATGATCTTGTAAACTTTTATAAAATTAATCATAACTGTACTTATCATAACATCTCTAATAAAAGTTTAGCTCTAATAGAAAGTTACAAGAAAATTTTCAAGAAATTTTATTAATTACTGTCATTGTTACGTGCTGGCTGTTGTTGCTCTCTTATTTAATCTCTACATTTTTGCTCGTTAGTTATGACGTAAAAAGTTTTTACCTGTCTTTTATTAAACATGTCTCTTTAGCGGGTTTTAAATTTCAAGTAGAATATTTTCAACTATGGTCTCTTTTCAACTATGGTCTCTTTTCAACTATGGTCTCTTTTGAACTTTGGATGTTTTTATAATGTATTTACATTTTTGTTTAAATTGCTTTACTTTAAATTGGATATAATGGATTATCCATAGCTAGCCAGTACTGGCTAGTAATTATTTTTTATTAACTCTACTTGCCTATTCATAATAAAAGATATATAATACTAAATATGTTGGGACATTAATACCCACCACCACCATCTAGTTCCATGGCAAGCTACGAGGCTTGTGCTATGGATACCAGATAGTTGATTCACTACACATATATAACTATACATACATATTATAAATATGAACACCTTTATCTGGAGTATAAATATTCTTGCTCATCACACAAATGAATGCCCCCAGCGGAACTCAAGCCCCCGACCGCTGACAAAGCAAGTAGGGTCACTACAAACTGAGACAAACGTGTCGATAAGTATACTAGTACTACTAAATTCACTTTGCTGAAGTGAGTCTCATAAGTTCTATGAAAATTAATTTCACTTGGTGTGTTGCGTTGCGTTCGTTGTGTATTTAAACAAAATTAATTTCGTCCCTACCTTTGCGCGTACAGACCTATGGGATTTTAAATTTATTTTAAATATATTTCATAATGTTATTATAAATATTATACATAAAAATAAAAAAAAAGCTTTACATCTAAAAAATAAAAACAATCAAAAATATTAGTAACAACCGGCTCACCTTCACTTCGCTCGGTTTTGCCTCAAGAAAAGCACAACCAGATCTATTCCTCAGTAACTGTTTATTTTTCCGGGATAGAAAGTTACCTATTGTTTGACCGGTAATATAAAGTATCAGCATGCCAAATTTTACTAAATAAGGTGCTTGTTTGTACCTTGTTGTTGTGTATTAAGCTGTATAAGTTACTATAGTTTTATAACTATGCCACGGGAACTCTTTAATTTTTCGGGATGAAAAGTATCTAAAACATTGACCGGGGATATAAGGTATCACCATGCAAAATTTCATTTAAATCGGTCCAACAGTTTCGGAGATTAGCCCTTACAAACAACCAGACACAGAAAAAAATCTGGATTTGTTCTATTTCTCTTCTTACATCCCCCTGACTCAGTTTTTAGCATTTTTTTTCTATGCACAGACATTCGACTTCTACCATTTTATTATATGTATAGATAGTATTATAAATATGAATGTTTAGATGTTTGGATGCATGTTTGTTACTCAATCACACCAGAATGGCTTAACGGATCTGGATGACATTTAGCACAGAGATAGATTATATTCTGGAATAGCACAGTGTAAAAATTTTTTCCCGAAAAAATGTACGGTTCCCTTGGGATGCTTCTGTTTTTCTAGAGGTGAACCCGAGTAAGGGTGAGCCGCTAGGATATTATATTATAACGCAATTAAATAACAATAATCACAATTATCTCTTTTCTTTATCCTCTCATCACAAAGTCATACAACGTTCCTAACGATAACCTACTGAGCAACAAGTTGTCATCGTCATATTTTGTTTTCCTATGTCGTGTATAATTTTGTAATTTCCAAATTACCCAATTCCGTTCGCCTCCTCTCTAATCAATGAACTAGAGCACTTTGATGTTGATGATAGATAGCAACCAGTAGAATCACTTTTTCGTGCGTAGAATGAGTAGTATAGTTAATATATTATGTAGACTTAATTTGGCTGTCTCGGGGGTGCTTTATAGGTCGGTCATTTGATACTGTGGCCCAAACCATCCTTAATTAAGGTCATCGGGTTTCTTGCAAAATGACGTGAATTCCCATTTTTCCCATTAGATTTTAACATATTTATATTATACCAGTAGTGAGCTATATATT